TTTTTCTTATTGGTCTGGTGTCTCCTAGAGACTTAAGGGACCCCGGTTTCTATAGGCTGTGTAGGTTCTCTTTATTCTCCTTAGCACTGACGCACAACCTGTATCCCATGGGTCAGGCACAGGGTGGAGACAGAGGTGCCTCTACAGCATGTTTGTGATTTAAAATTAATCTAATTTTTCACAATATCACCACTTGGTTCATCTTTTCCCACAACCTTAGGGCATCGGGTTATTCTTCGGTCACTTACTTATGTCGGCATTTCTTAGCTCCAAGGCCTAAAATAGCCAAGCTAAAATCTTGCAGGCCTCAGCCTACAGGCCTTGTGTTTCATCCCTACTTACTTAGATACCGAATACATACTTATCCCTTCTGACTACTGATCAGTCTTATACTTCTATACATAAGAGTGGCCATACTGGGTCAGCCCAAAGGTCCGTCTAGCTCAGTATCCTGTCTACCGACAGTGGCCAATCCCAGGTGCCCCAGAGGGAATGAACAGAACAGGTAATCATCCAGTGATCCATCCCCTGTCGCCCATTCCCAGCTTCTGGCAAACAGAGGCTAGGGACACCATCCCTGCCCATCCTGGCTAATAGCCATTGATGGACCTATCCTCCACGAACTTATCTGGTTCTTTCTTGAACCCTGTTATAGTCTCAGCCTTCACAACATCCTCTGGCAAGGAGTTCCACAGGTTGACTGTGCGTTGTGTGACAAAATACTTCCTTGAATTTGTTTTAAACCTGCTGCCTATTCATTTCAGTTGGTGGCCCCTAATTCTTGTGCTATGAGAAGGAGTAAATAACACTTCCTTATCTACTTTCTCTACACCAGTCATGATTTTATAGACCTCCATCGTATCCCCCTTAGTCATCTCTTTTCCAAACTGAAAAGTCCCAGTTTTACTAATCGCTCCTCATACAGCAGCCGTTCCATACCCCTAATCATTTTTGTTGCCCTTTTCCAATTCCAATATATCTTTTTTGAGAGGGGGCGACCACATCTGCACACAGTATTCAAGACGTGGGCGTACCATGGATGTATATAGAGTCAATATATTATCTTCTGTCTTATTATCTATCCCTTTGTTAATGATTCCCAACATCCAGTTCGCTTTTCTGACTGCCACTGCACATTGAGTGGATGTTTTCAGAGAACTATCCACAATGACTCCAAGATCACTTTCTTGAGTGGCAACAGCTAATTTAGACCCCATCATTGTATACGTATAGTTGGGATTATGTTTTCTAATGTGCATTACTTTGCATTTATCAACATTGAATTTCATTTGCCATTTTGTTACCCAGTCACCCAGTTTTGAGAGATCCTTTTGTAGCTCTTCGCAGTCTGCCTGGGACTTAAATATCTTTAGTAATTTTGTATCATCTGCAAATTTTGCCACCTCACTGTTTACCCCTTTTTCCAGATCATTTATGAAATGTTGAATAGGACTGGGCCCAGTACAGACCCCTGGGGACACCACTATTTACCTCTCTCCTACAACTGAACTCTATTTAGCATACAATGATTATACATGACATGGTAATTAATCAGAACAGCACACAAGAAATGAATGATAACCCTGTAGCCAATGATTTTCGTTTAAGGTGTGTGCGTTTGGGGGTCCCAGACCAATCCCCCCATCCCTGCGGGAGGCCAGCTCACAAGGGTGCACGGGCAGTGGGACTGCAGCTGTTCCAGCAGCTCCCGGTGCCCCCCCTGTGCTCCCCCAGCTCCAGTGACATGTTCACTCTGGGCAGGGGCGGCTCCAGGCACCAGCGCAGCAAGCACGTGCCTGGGGCGGCAAGCCGCGGGGGGCGGCCTGCCGGTCGCTGTGAGGGCGGCAGTCAGGGTGCCTTCGGCGGCATGCCTGCGGGAGGTCCGCCGGTCCCGCGGCTTCGGCGGCAATTTGGCGGCGGGTACGCCGAAGGCGCGCGACCGGCAGATCACCCACAGAAACACCGCCGAAGGCTGCCTGACTGCCGTGCTTGGGGCGGCAAAAACCATAGAGCCGCCCCTGACTCTGGGTGGGTGTGAGCCAGAGATGGTGCAAGCCAGTGCAGAGACCTGTGTTGGCTCCAGGGAGCCCCTGGGTGAGGCCCTGAGATGCTAGCAGGGTTCTGCATTACCCAGCCTCGTTAGCAGCACAAGAGATGTTGACGGGTGCAGGGCTCCACCTGCACCCGTGGAGAGGGCTGCCGTGGCCAGGTGTGCAGACCAAAGACCCACCTGAAATGCACAGGGCTACCAGGGTGACTGGGACGGGAATTACGGGGGAAGAGCCTCCAACAGACCAGAATGTGCTGGCCCGAGACCTCCTCTCCCTTCGTCTGTCTGCCTCGCTGCAGGGGCCACAGCCTGGGACTCGCCTCCCCCAGCTGCGGTGTGGGCCGAGCGCATGGGGGGCAGCTGTTGGGGAGGGAGTGGGATCCGGAAGCTGGGCCAGAGCCAGTAACTTGGGGGGTGGGGGAAAGATCTCGATTATCCTGGCAAAGGGGATGAGATCCCAGTGGAGCCAGCACGTTGGGTGACAGTGGGGCCCAGTCATTGCGGGTCCAAGACCCCTGGGCTCCCATAGCTGAGAGTCCTCAAGGCCTGGCGGCCCCGAGCTTTTGGGGGAACCTGGGGCACCGCCATGCCCCCTCCCAAAACATGACCACTGAAGGGAGGCCCTGGGGTCAGGGGCTTGGAGATTGAACCCCCTGCACTGGCCCCACAGCTGTGGCTCCTGTCCTGTGGGGCTGGGCTCAACTCCCCACTTTGAGCATTGCAGCCTGGTGCACCGGGGCACAGTGGTTGGGGGCTCTTTCAACTGGGGGGCTCAGGGTAAACTGTCCCTCTGCCCTCCCCCCATCTGGGTGGCCTTGGTAGTCGTCCTTGGTGTCTGTCTGCTGTGAGAACTTGGCTTTGGTTCTCAGCAGGCGGGAAGGAAAGACCACAGTTCCCAGCAGGCTGCAGTGCAGGGTTGGAGCTCGGTCCTCACGTGTCTAGAGCCGGCCACACATTTTCCATGGAAAAACGTTCTTTGACTCAATGGCAAGGGTTGTGTTGTCGTTGCAAGGCCAGTGTTGGAAAGTGTACGCACAAAACGTTCCACTTTTCAGCTGCCAAAAAACATTTTTTTGTTTGTTTTTGACAAAACCTCAACAAATTCCCAAGAAATTTTTGATTAAAATGTAAACTGTTCCCAGGAAAGCCCCTTCCTGGCAGCCGGATTCAGCCGCAGCGCATCAGCGTTCCCACCAACGGGCTGAATCCGGCTCCAGCACCGAGGTATTTCTGTCCCTGGTGCTAACTTGGGGCGAGGTCTCTTGTTCCCAAAGCCACGCCAGCTACTCTCCCTGCCCGTGGGCAGCTCGTTGCATCGCTGGGTGGGGCCAGCTCGCCCCACATGGCTTTACATGCTGACCTGGGGGCAGGCCCCGTCTCTGAGCCCATCTCTCCTTGCACCGTTCATTGAGCCCTTCCCCCTCGGCTTCCTGGAGCCCGTCTCGCCCTGGGCCTGGGCCCTGTTTGCGTCTCGGACCCTGTATCCTGCAGGGGCCCTGCCCATGCCAGCTGGGTCTCCTGCCGCGTTCTCGGGGGGAGAGCGTCTCTGATCCCCGAGTGCGCCAGGCTGGGGGAGCGTCTGTTCTAGGGCGGGGCTGGGCCCGGGGTCTCCGGGATTCAGATTAGCAGGGGGCTCATGTAGGGTGACCAGTGTCCGGAACACCCGGTCGAAAAGGGACCCTGGCGGCTCCGGTCAGCACCGCTGACTGGGCTGTTAAAAGTCCGGTCGGCGGCGCTGCGGCACTAGGGCCGGCTAATCCCTACCTGTCCTGGCACCGCACTGCGCCCCAGAAGCGGCCAGCAGGTCCGGCTCCTAGGCGGGAGCCACCCAAACTGAGCCTGCGCCCCTGCCCAGCCCTGAGCCCCCCCCAAATCCAGACTACCCTCCTGCACCCCAAAACCCTCACCCCCGGCCCTCACCCCCCTTCACCTCAACCCCTGCTCCAGCCCACAGCCCCCTCCCACACCCTGAACCCCTCATCCCTGGCCCCACCCCAGAGTCAGCACCCCCCTGCAGCCTGCATCAACCTCTGCCCCAGCCCAGAGCCCCCTCCCACACCCCAACCCCCTGCCCCAACCCGCAGCCCCTCCCGCACTCCAAATCCCTCGGCCCCACCCCCCAGCCTGGGGCCTCGGGGAGGGGGCGGGCCGTCAGGGAGGGGGCGGGGCTAGGCTGTTCGGTTTTGTGGGACTGGAAAGTTGGCAACCCTAGGCTGGGGGTGGCTGGAATCCGGAGGGGCGGGGGAGGTTCCCCTAGCGCCAGGAGCCCAGTCACGGCCCCGCCCCGCTGCGCCAGGCGCTGCACACACCCCACGGAGACGGTCCCTTTCCCCGGGGCTGCCGGAGGCGAGACTCCAGCTAGAGCCAGGCAGGCGGCCGGGGGGAGGTTAGGGGCGCTAGCCGGGGTCTCCCCTGGCACGGGGGGATGCTGGGAGTTGTAGTTCTGCCCTTCCCACCGAGCAGGAACAAAGCCCCAGCGGCGAGCCGCGCTCCAGCTCCCGGCTGCGGGCTCCGGAGCGTCCCTGGGGCCGGTACCCCGCGCGCTGGCTCCCAGGGGCCCAGCCCGTCTGCCGGGCCGACCGCTTCCCTTCCCGCCCGGAGCGGGGACCGGCCCCCGGCCCGCCGCCTCCCCCTGCCCGGCCCGGCCCCTGCGCCCTCCCGTGCGCCCAGGGCGCGCCGCGCTGGCCCTGCGCAGCCATCGGGGGCGCGTCGCGGCTGGGAGCGGAGCGGAGCGGCCGGAGGCAGCGGGCGGGCCATGCCGGCGCAGGTAGGGCTGGGCCGGGGGCGTGGGGCTGGAGGGAGCCGAGCCCGGGCTGCGGGGAGCGGGGGAGCCCGGCGCTCTGTGCGCGCTCGGCCCCCAGCCCTGCCCGTGGCAAGCGGCCCCGGCACCTCTCGCCCTGCCTCGGCTTGTCAGTCTCCAGCCCCGGGCGGTCACGCCGAGGCCGGGCGAGAATCGGGCCCCGGGCCCGACCTGGCTGCTTTGCTTGTGCTGCCCGGGAGCAGCTGGCAGGTTTGTTATTGTAGGGTAGCCTGGAAGCGCTGGGGCTGTGGGAGCCGCAGCAGCTGTGACTATCGGGCCCCACCCTTGTCTTTAGGGTGAGGGTCTCCCCTGCCAGCCCAGCCTGACGGGGTCTCCCTGGGAGTGGAGTGAGGAGCCACCTGAGAAAGTCTCACAGCCAGGGGCCTTCTGGCAACCACAAGGCAAAACACAAAGGGCAGAGGCTGGTGCCAGGGGGTGGGACCCCACCGCACAACTCAGGGCAGCCCCAGAACTGCTGGGCTGCATCTGGGATCCTGCATGGGCAGACACACAGAGGGCGGGGAGCGGAGCCCGGAAAGGGAGCCAGACCCGCTAACAGATGAGCAGGATCTCCGGAGATACACATCAATGCAGAGGCACCTGTGCCTCTTTGGGGGGGTGTCTGCAGTAGCAGTAACACGTGTTTTGTCTGGAAGCAGCCCTGAGGTGCTCCTCGTGCATCAGTGTGAATCCAGGGGACCCACAGTCCTGTCCCCCCCTCCCGGGTCGGCCCCAGCCCCTGGGAATTCCATCCATTGGGGGCACGGAGCCAGGACTAGGGGCTCATTAGCCGGACTAGCCTTGTGTGAAAGAGGCTAATATAATGCGCCCTCCCCCCCAGCTCTGACGTCCCTGGGAGCTTGGCCTGACTCGGGCACCAAGCTGGGATAATCGTTCTTCTAGCACAAGCTGTAAGTCGTGAGAGGTTAGAGAACCGCCTGGGGAGCCTGTGTGTGTCTAACCCCTGCCTCTGCCTGGCTGGACTGGAGCCGACGGTGCTGAGTGGGCCACGGTTGCATTTCAGGCCCCAGTGACGTTCGAGGACGTGGCGGTCTATTTCTCCCCGGCGGAGTGGGCGGCGTTAGCGGAATGGCAGAGGGAGCTGTACCGGGACGTGATGATGGAGAATTACGAGCTGGTGGCATCTTTGGGTGAGGATCCCTTTATTAGCAGGAGCAGCAGCATCTTGGACACGCAAGGCTGGCTTTAGGGGGATCTCACGTTCCCATGACGTATGTGTAGAATGCCTGGTGCGTGGCTGAACATCGGAGACGTCCCACCTGACGAGGGTGCTGCAGTGCTGTACTCCGTGGCGGGACGTGTTCTGGGCCCAGTGCGCTGGTGTGCCTGGGCAGTTGATCCATCACTTTCAGCCCCCCGTTTGTTGGTGCCATCCCAGCAGGGGTATGCTGATAGCCAGGGGGTGCCTCCTAATGGAGGGCATGTCCCCCCACCCTCTGCCATTAGAGTGCATAGCCTGGCTGTCGGTGCTTAATGTGTAATGAAAGACCGGTTGGAGCTGAGCCCCAGCACAAATTAAGCACTGGCTGGGCGGCCGGAGAGTGGCCGGGCGACTGGGGGGTGGCTGCTGGCCAAATGCCCAGCTCTGAAGGCAGCGCTGCCACCAGCAACAGCGCAGAAGGAAAGGTGGTATGGTGTGCGATACTGCCACCCTTACTTCTGCGCTGCTGCTGGCAGCGGTGCTGCCTTCAGAGCTGGGCATTCGGAGAGAGGCGGCTGCTGCCCGGGAGCCCAAAGGTGCCAGGGCTATGAACTGCCAAGCCTGGAGGTGCTGGGGCACGGCGTGCTGTCCCGTTGGACCCAGCTCCTGGACTCTCGGGATTAGCTTGCGAGAACTGTTCACAGTGATCCAGGTCCCTGTGACCTCTCCGCTGGGTTACTGCCAAGCTGCCTTCACGCAGTTCCCAGGGGCTTGAGCTGGTGAAGGATGCCTTAGCAGCAGCCGTGGGCACGTACCCTGTGCCCTGCACCAGCTGCCTGTTCACTCCCAAGTGCAATCCAAGGGGCTGGGTGCTGTCTGTGGGCGCTAGATGGCCCGGGACCCAGCTGTCTGAAAGGCAGCCAGTATCCTATCATGGGAACTACCAGCTGGGGGCTGCTCGCAAGAGAAATTCCCGTTGCAGACAATGGCTGGCGCAGTGCGTGTTGGCAAGGCCCTTGGAACTGCAGGACACAGCACGTGTTCTCTTGCCCATGAACAGGCTCCGTGGGCCCCAAGCCCAAGGCATCGGCTAGAAAAGCAAAGCGAGAGAAGGCGCCGTATGTCTGGGACCATCAGTACTCGAGAGCGAAAGTCCTGATGCTTCCAGCACAGGGGAACGACACCCCAAACGAGGTGAGACCCGCTCCGGTAAGGAGCGCGAAGTGCTGGACACTCAGAGGCTCTGGGCAAGAGGGGACCAAGGGAAACCTTTTTTAACAGCAGCCGGCAGCCTAATGCACCTGTCAGTGCCTGGGGTTTCCTGGCTCTGAGGGGCTTCCCTGATTTCTGCTTTAGGAGCATCGTTAATTGCTGGTTCATAAGCATGTAAGACGGCTCAGGGCCTTTCCCTTCCAGGCGGCCGGCTGCCGTGCCACGGGGGTGAGGGCAGAGGGTCACTGGGGAGTGGCTCAGCAGGGCTGTTCTGTTGCAGGAGCCGGTGACCTTCGAGGAGGTGGCGGTCTATCTCACCACCGAGGAGTGGAAGGAGCTGAAGGACTGGCAGCGGGAGCTGTATCAGGACGTGATGAAGGAGAATTACGACCTGGTCACCTCTGTGGGTAAAGAGCCCTTTATGGGGGCAGTGGCGCTGTCTGCTACCCAGGGCTGGCTTCGTAGCCTGCTCTCCTGGAACATGGGCAGAACGTGCCCCGATTAGTCTTCATTTCGCAGTGAGACTCGGTGGCTTCCTAAGGCAGGTGTGTCATAAATACACCAGCCCCGACAGAAGCCAGCCAGCGTGTGCATTCGACTCCCATCGGGGTGCTGGCTAGCTAAGCCATTTGACAGGCACGTAACAAACCTTGTCTTCCATCGAACAGGAGACACCGTGGAGAAACCGGAGATTGTCTCTAGGCTGGAGCGCGGGGAAGAGCCGTACGACCCCGGAGAGACACGTGTTCCTGGTCCCCACGGCGTGGGTGAGTGGGGCCAGCAAAGCTCCTGGAGTCGGGGTCCCTGTGCCAGCTCCTGGCACACGGCACTTTGTTGTGCTGGCCACAGTGGTGCCCAGTTCAGGAACGTTTCCGGCCCTGCGAGTGCGGTGCCTGGCGTTGAGGAGGGCACGGGCCTGAGCTCCAAGCAGCGGGTCAGTCAGTGCGTTTGTCATTGCTGGGGCAGAGCCCACGGGGTCCCTGCGCCCCCTCCCGCCAGGGCCAGCAGGGGGGACCGTTCCTGTGGGATGTGCGGACAGAATCGGGAGGAGTTTCCCTCTCCGCTCCGACAGCGTCACGGCAAGGCGGGCAGAGGCTGGAACTAGTCTGGCTAGCAGCGACCCAACAGGACCTTCCCTTGGTAAAGAGCGGGTGTGGGTGAGACACGCCTGAGGGCAGGGACGTCACATGCAGGGAGGACCCGGGGACAGGCTCTGAGCTGGCAGAGCTGTAAACAGGGACTGGTCCTGGGGGAGTTTCCACCTGAGTTTGCCCCACAGAGAGTCCCTGGGGCCCGTAGCTGTGCCCCCAGGACTCCCCGACTCCCCAGCACACGGAATAACGCCTGGACGCTCCTCTCCCGGCAGGTGGTGGGACCCGGGGGGCTGATGAGGAGGGGACGCGTCACAAGGAAGAGCCGGCAGGACTGGACCCAAGCGAGATGCTAACGGGGAGAGACGCAGCGAGAGTTTCCCTGGGCTCGGCCAGGACCGGAGCCAGCGCCAGTCGGAGTCAGCGCAAAGGGCGCCCGGGCCAGGGGAGGCCTGTGGGGAACGGACACGATGAACCCCTGTGGGGCGAGAGGCGGGTCAGGGACTCCCCAGCCAGCGCTGAGCTGCAGAGCAACGGGGCCCCAGAGAGACCCTGCCCAGCGCCTGAGAACCAGGGGGGCAGCGTGGGGACGGGAGCCGTGCCTGTAACCCCCATTGCAGAGGGGCCGTGTGGGGGGAGCATTGGGCAGGGCGGGAAGCCAACAGAGGAGCACGCTGCCCCTGGGGGCGGGGGGCCCTACAAGTGTGGGGAGTGTGGGCAGGGCTTTGGCAGCCAGGCCTCCCTGGCCAAGCACCGGCGGCAGCACGCCGGGGTGGGCGCCTTTCCCTGCAGCCAGTGTGGCAAAGCCTTCAGCAACAAGGGCAACCTCCTGCGGCACCTGAAGCTACACAGCGGGGAGAAGCCGCACGGCTGCGCGGAGTGCGGGCGGCGCTTCCGCACCAAGCAGACCTTCCTGTCGCACCAGCGCGTGCACACTGGGGAGAAGCCCTTCGCCTGCCGCCAGTGCGGGCGGAGCTTCACGCGCAAGGAGAACCTCGTGCGCCACCAGGAGACCCACGTGCACAAAGAGCCCCACACTTGTCCCGAGTGCGGCAAGAGTTTCCTGCACGAGGGCTCGCTGCTCCTGCACCGCCGCGCCCACTCCGGGGCCCGGCCCTTCCCCTGCGCCCACTGCGGCAAGAGCTTCAACTGGAAGACGAACCTGACCACCCACCTGCGCAGCCACGCTGGGCAGCAGCCCTCCGCCTGCCACCAGTGCGGCCAGCGGTTCGGCGACCGCGGAGACCTGCTGCGGCACCAGAGGGCCCACGCGGGCGGCGGGCTGCCGACAGGCTACGGCAACGGGGAGACCTTCAGCGAGTTCCTCCAGATCCACGAGATGCTGATCTCCCGCACGCACGCCCGCAAGCCCCTGGGTGCCCTCACCAAGTACAAGTGAAAGCTGTCTGCAGGGCTGGGGCGGCTCTGGCAGCGCGGGAGCAGGGGAGGACGCCCAGCCCTGTCTCCCAGCACGTGGCAGGATAGATGACCCTGGCAATGCAGGTATGCCAGCGGGGCTACAGCCCGGCCGGGGAGCACGACCCTGGTGGGGGGAGCGCTCTGGAGCTCCTCGGTGCAAGCTCCTCCCCCAGGATTTTTCCTTTGGCTGTTTGTTGGTTCCCTGCCAGATGGAGGGTGACAGCTGCCCCCTGGGGTGCACTGGTCCCATTGTTTAGGCCGCTGACTCCTAGTGACGAAGTCCTGCGGCACGTTCCCAGAGTAGCAAGCAGCCAGTGCTGCTCTCTGAGCTCTCATGTCGCCGACCCTTGCAGGAGGGGCTGCTGGACATGCCCCGATAGCCAGTACCTAGCAGAGAAGAGCGGGGCCTAGGAGAAATCTTCCGGCTGAGCCCCAGGTAGCACGCAGGCTCCGGTGCTCCAGCCAAGGGGTCCCGAGAGGCAGATCTCGCTGCAGCAAGGCCCACGTCTGGGAGAGAAGGCAGATGGCAGCTTGCTGTACTCCAGCCCACGACTGCTGACTCTAGGCTGGGGTTTTAGGGGAGTGCATGGGTTAGCCTGGGGCTGGAGAGCCAGAGAGAACCACAGGATCTGTCCAGCAGCCCCAGTCCGGAGTCGCAGTACATTGGCTGCCCAGAGCAGCCTGGCTCGCTGGTAAAGGGCCTGTAGCCGCACTGGCGAAAGCCTGGCTAGAGGCACCATTGACCAGTCTCCGTTCTCAGGTCTCCTTAACCAGCCAGGACCGAGTCGCCGGTGGGTGCTTGTGAATCCCAGCTGCCCGCCAGCATGTCCTAGCCGCAGTGCCAGCCTTGCCCGTCCAGCCTCCGGTCACACCCTTCTGACGACCCTCTTGCCTTGTAAGAACCATAGAAACGCTGGGCTGGAAAGGACCTCGGGAGGTCACCCAGTCCAGAGCCCGGCTGAGGCAGGACCAAGAAAGCCCAGCCCAGCCCTGACAGGTGTTCATCCAGCGGGTTCTTGAAAACCTCCAGTGACAGGGCCTCCATGACCTCCCTTGGGGCCTGTCCCAGAGCTTCGCTGCCCGGAGAGTTTCTGCTACCATCGAACCGAAATCGCCCTCGTCCCCCACTTCAGTTTGAAGCTGGCTTTAGCTGCAGCTCTCAGCCTGGCCAGAGCCTGAGCCAGTGCTGGGTCCCCTCTGAAATCTGGGAACGCCTCGTTTCGCAGGGTCGAGCCGTGTCCCCCCGGGCTGCTTTGGCGGCGCCAATGATGCTGCAGTTCGAGTGGGCGAGGAGGGACGGGCGAGGCGTGTTAGCAGCACCAGCGGGGTCCTGCTTAAAGAACATTTTCTTTACTAAGACTGTAACTCACCAGCTCAGCTGAGAAATGTGCTACCTTCACGCAGGAAGGGAAGGGCTGGCTGACGAAGCAGCGTATGCACTGAAACTGGGCGCGGTACATAAATACACTCTCCCGCTGTCAGACCCAGTGTCCAATAAACCCGTCCAGTTCTCGCTTGCTGGGCTCCGGCGCAGCATGTCTGTGTAATTGCGGAGTCCCCCGGGGGCATAGGAGAACCTGGTGCAGCACTGGCTTTTCTGGGTTCTTCAACTCCCATGCATGTGCCGGGGGCCAAGTGTCAATCAGATTTTCTCCCTCGTTCGTGCTGTATTTCTGTAGGGCCGTGCCCCACCCAGCTCCACCCTTCCCCTCCTGAGCCCTACCCAGACCTCTGCATGCATCCCGTGCATGACCCACCCCTCGGGGAGCTCTGCACTCCTCCGCTGTCCTGGGGTAATGGTACAGAATCACCGAAAGCGGCTTTCCGCCAGCGCTGAGCAGGGAACTCAGGGACTCGGCCTTCGAAGGAAGCGAAGCAGGGAATGCAGATGTGCGCTGCCTGCTCAGTAACCCGGGCTCCCCGGCTGCCCAAGCCTTTATTCCCCAGCCCCCCCGTTACACCGGCAGGGCTGGGTGAGAGAGAGCCGGGGTCTGTCCCCGTGAGCCCTGCAGGGCCAGTGGTGCCTGGGTGTAGGGGTGGGTCTGTCCCCGGGGAGCTCTGGGGGACTGGGCAAGCTAAGGGAGGGGATCCCGGGCAGCCCTGCGAGGCCAACCTGGCTAAAGGAGGGCCCCCCCAGGAGCCCTGCGGGGCCAGGCTGGCTAAGGGAGGGGGCCCTGGGGAGCCCCGTCGGCGTCGGGCCGAGCTGGCTAAGGGAGGGGAGCCCTGCGGGGCCAGCTCGGCTAAGGGAAGGGGAGCCGAGGTCTGTTCCGGGGAGCCCTGTGGGGCCAGGCTGGCTAAGGGAGGGGGCTCTGGGGAGCACCATCGGCGTCGGGCCGAGCTGGCTAAGGGAAGGGGAGCCGAGGTCTGTTCCGGGGAGCCCTGCGGGGCCAGGCTGGCTAAAGGAGGGGGGCCCTGGGGAGCCCTGTGGGACTGGGTCAGCTAAGGGAAGGGGAGCCCTGCAGGGCCGGCCTGGCTAAGGGAGCGGGAGCCGGGGTCTGTTCCGGGGAGCCCCGTGGGACCGGACCGGCTAAGGGAGGGGGCCCTGGGGAGCCCCGTGGGACCGGACCGGCTAAGGGAGGGACCCCGGGGTCTGCGCCCCCGCAGCAGGTTCGGTGCCCGAGGTCCCGGCGGTTACGGCTTGTGCCCGAAGCCCCCGGCCAGGGCCGAGTTTGGGGCCCTTGGGCCGGGCCGGGGCAGAGCCGAGCCCCGCTGCAGCCTGGAGCCCGGTGGAGGGAACCGGCTCGTGGGTAGCGAGCCCCGGGCTGCTCCTCCCCGGCGCTGGGCCGGGCTGTGTGAGCGGCTCCTCCCCCGTCCCCGCCCGCCTCCTTCCGGCCCCGGCCCAGCCCGGCGGAGGAAGCGCAGCGGCGCCGGGAGGCTCCGCGGGCGCCGAGCAGCGCCGAGCCCCGGGCCGCGCAGGGGGCATGGCCGCTGGGAGCGCTGCGCAGGTAGGGGCGGGCGGCTCGGCTCGGGGCGCCTGCAGGCGGGGGGCTGCCCTGGCACCTTCCCCTCCCCGCCCGGCTGCGGGGGCCAGGGGCCGTTAGATCATCTAGTCTGAGCTCGGTGCATCCCCTAGAAACATCCCGGCGCAGCCGGTGCCCCCAGGGGGCAGGGCCAGGCTCCTGCCCTGTGCATGGGGCTGCCCTCAGATCCTTTCCCAGTGCCTGGGGCAGGGGCCGGTCCCTGGGCGCCGGGCAGCCCTGCTCTCTGCCGGGTGGGCTCAGCGGGACTCCCGGAAATCACCCCTCCCGCCCGCTGCCAGCCCCACGCAGGCTGGGCCAGGCCCGGGAGCTGCTGGAGGGGCAGGAAACGGAGCTGCAGACACGGCCCTGGCGCAGCGCGGTCACGGAGCTCTGCCAGCGTAGCCCCAGTGCCTGGGCTGCAGCCGCAGAAGGGGCCGGACCATCAGGGCAGGAACGTGCCCAGCCCTAGCGCTGGGCACAGTCTTCCGTCCCCCGGGGGCGGGATGCTGGGCACAGCTGGGGCGCGGGGGTGGCTTTTTCACACCCTGACCGAGGTAGCCATGTCAACCTGCCTTTTAAGGGTAGACCAGGCCTGTGGGTGCCCAGGTGCTGGAGTCCCCCCGCCTCCAGGGTCCGGAAGCTCTCTGACATCCAGCCCTGCTCCCAGAACTCCTTGGACCTGGGGGCTGATGGTGCATCGTGAAAAGCTCGGCACATTGTGCTAAACGAATCGTAACGAATAACGAAGTAATCCCACTGGCCGAGTTCGAAACGTCCTGAGTTCTGGGGGCTCTGCCTCTTCCCGGGGACCTGCGAATGTTTTAAAAACCGGTTTGTTGTGGCCTCTGCGTCTTTATGATGCACAAAGGAGATTTGTACATTATCGTTCTGCTTGTTTTTCTATTGGAACGAGGGGCTGGTCTCCCTGGGGGGTCTCTGGCTGACCGGAGAGCGCCCAGACTGACTGCCCGAGTGGGGAGCGCTGAGCCTTGGGGTGAGCATAGGGTAATAAACCAGACCGACCTGCTAGATCGGACATTAGAGGTGCCCTGCGAGCAAAGCCAGGCTAAGAAGGGGGCAGTGGCTATTTCAAACGCGGTGGAGTCTGTTTGTGGTGTCGGCACCTGTTTAACTCCAATGCCCAAGGAAGTCTTGCGAGAAAAGCTCTCCGAGCTAAAGTTTGGCTCAGTGCCACCTGCCCTTCCAGGAGAGGCTGAGAAGCTCACGCCACGTTTCTCAGTCCGCCCAAAGATCAGGGAAGAGGAGACTTGATATTCCTGACGTAGCTGTAAGGTAAAAAACAAGCAGACCCCTGCCCCATCCTGTTCTGTTCTAGTCTCTCTGCCCTTTATGCATCATGAGAATTTTTTCTGCTTTGCAGATCACCTTTAAGTTTAGCCCGAGTGAGCCTGCTGCGAACTCTCTCCCCTGGGATCTCTCCCTCCCCTGCAGCTGCATGTTCTCATCTAGACACCGGCCGGGCGGGTCTGCGTGCCGGCCGGGCGGGTCTGCGTGTGCCCGCTGTGTAGGTCTGCGTGCTGGCTGGGCGGGTCTGCATGCCGGCCGGGCGGGTCTGCGTGTGCCCGCTGTGTAGGTCTGCGTGCCGGCCGGGCGGGTCTGCGTGCCGGCCGGGCGGGTCTGCGTGCCGGCCGGGAGGGTCTGCGTGTGCCCGCTGTGTAGGTCTGAGTGCTGGCTGTGTGGGTCTGAGTGCTGGCCAGGCGGGTCTGAGTGCCGACTGGGTTGATCAGGGGCTACTCTCAGCTGGGCACAGACCAGGGCTGGATGCGGTAATTGGCAGTATTACGGTGACGCTCTAATGGCCCTAGATCAGGGTCCCATTGTGGTGGGCTCTGGATATACCCAGAGTCAGAGACAGCCCCTGCCCCCAGGTGCTTATAGGCAAATCTAAATAACCCAGACAAAGGTAGGGAGGAGGTAAGTGTTAGTATCCCCAGTGGCCAGATGGGAGGTTAAGTGACATACCCAGGGTCACACGGGGAGTCTGTGGCAGAACCAGGAACTGCCCCAGGTCCCCTGAGCGCCAGCCCACCACCGTGCCCACCAGGCCAGCCTTCCTGAGCAGTTGCCCCACTCTCACAGGACAAGCTCAGGACACCCCCAGGCTTGAAGCCACATGGGGCTGGTCCGCAGAAGATCAGAGACAGAACCTGTCTCGGGGAAGGTAAAGGGAGGTGACTCAACCGGCCGTGGGGCCCTAGTCTGGGGGGTGAGTGGGGCAGCTTGGAGGACGTGACCATGTACGGTGCCCACAGACTCCCCTCCCGCCTGCCCCCATTGAGGATGGTGGATAAAGATGCCACTGAATCAGTAGGTCCCGAATGGGGACCCTTCTTGTGTTTCAGGCCCTGGTGTCGTTCGAGGACGTGGCGGTCTATTTCTCCCCGGAGGAGTGGGCGGCGTTAGCTGAATGGCAACGGGAGCTGTACCGGGACGTGATGATGGAGAATTACGAGCTCATCGCCTCGCTGGGTGAGGATCAGGCCCTGTTAGAGTCTGTGAAAGGCCCTGGCCGGTGCCAGAGTGGGATGAAATCCACACCGAGGGAGACCCTCTAGCCCACAGGAGCCAGCCGCAGCCCACACCTCTTGGGCAGCGAGTGAGCTCTGTGCATGGTCCAGGCACGGCCCAGCCCCACGCCAGCCCTTTTCAAGGGAACCTTGAAATCCCGCAGGGCACCCACATGTCCCTTCAGACGTGCCTGGGAAATGGGCTGAACCGCTCTGTCCCGTCCACAGGGCCCAGGGGCTGCAGGTACCTCCCATCCCTCGGCAGCTGCCTCTCCCAGCGGGGGTGAGGAATTCAAACCCGCTCCAGGTCCCGTGGGCTGCACCTCGCAGGGCGGCTCCGGTTCACACACTGCTGTTACATGCGGACACAGCACTGCGGGAGCTGGGCACATCCCAGTCAGTAGCCCCCCCCATGTGTCCCTGCCCCAAGGGGTTTGCAGTCAGAACGAAGAGCCCCCGTGACAGCATCTCCCACTCACATCCGACGTGTTGCAAATCGCCTCTTCCTGCGGCGGACACAGGAAACCCAGACTGTGGGTCTCCCCCCATGCCCAGGTTCTGCAGGCCCCAAACCGGAAATGATCTGTAAAATGGAGCGAGGGGAAGAGCCACATGCCACCGCTCCCCAGGGCGAGAGGGACAGAGGAATCCTGGACGCCCCCAGCACAGGTGAGCAGCACCGATTCCCCCTCCCTGCGAACTGCTCAGAGACAAAAGAGCAGAAACGTTGTGCAACGTTCAGTCCCTGTCCCGGGGGGCAGATGAGCAGAGGGGGACTCAGGCCTGCGCTGGCCGATCAGTATCCCCAAGAGACATTCATGCAGCAGTGGCCTGGGCCAGGCCCCTCTGCTAGGGCTAAAAGGGGGTCTGGGGGTAGAAGTGCCTGTGCCAGCTCTCTGCCGCTCACGGCGGCTGTCTGCCTGCTCTGTGCTGCTGGGCAGAGCAGGGCAGCGAGGGTGGCCCCCGATCTCCCTGGGCTCCTTGCTCTGCAATGAGATCTGCGGCAAGGCCGTTCCTGCAGGGAGGTCGGGCACACGGTCAGGGAGCTCACTGATCTACCATTCGTTACCCCCGCCCTGTGTGCCAGTCCAGGTCGTATCCCCGAGGGGGAGCGTGCCGTGACCACACACACCGCAGCCTGTGCCCAGAATCTCTGCTCTGTGTTTGCCGCACAGCGGGCACCGGCAGAGACACTGCCCTGTCTCTAAAGCCCAGCCCCCCCCAAACTCACTCCACAGTGCGGCGCGGGGGCAGAGGTGTGGCTCTGGGCGCTGTGTGAGCCCAGGGCCGGTGGGAATCGGCAAAGGCGTGTGATGTTAACGCTCGTTGGCACCAGCGGAGCGTCCGGCCTCCCCCAGCCCCTTCCCAGGGTGTAACTGCTTGGCTTGGTCTGTCCAACAGCTGGCTGGGGAAGGCGTGTCAAGGAGGAGCTGTCTGTGGAGGGCTACAACGACCAGTGGGTGCCACACACGTCGCTGGCCGGGGGAGCCGAGGGGTTTGTGCTGGAATATCCTGCCCTGTGGTGCGAGGTGAAGCAGAGGGACCTGGCGGGAGACGCCCCCCAGCAATCCCCGGAGTGGGAGGGGAGGGACGGTGCGTTCCTGGGCGGCACACTGGCCATGATCCACCCGGGGAGCGAGGGCCCCCTCATCTGCTGCGAGTGCGGGAAGAGCTTTGATGACGAGGCCTCACTGAGCGCCCACCAGCGCCTGCACCCGGGCGCCGGGCCCCACGAGTGCCGGGCCTGCGGGAAGAGCTTCCGCCACCGCCGCAACCTCTTGACCCACAAGAAGCGGCGGGGGAAGAGCCGGCACGCCTGCACCGAGTGCGGGAAAAGCTTCTGCCTCAAGGGCGACCTGCTGCGGCACCGGGCGGGGCACGCGGGCGAGGGCGGCCACGCCTGCAGCCTGTGCGGGGAGAGCTTCCGCCACAAGAGGAACCTGCTGGCCCACAGGAAGGAGCACGTCGGGGACACGCCCCACCGGTGCCCCGAGTGCGGGCAGAGCTTCGGCGACCCGGCCAGCCTGGCCCAGCACGAGGCGGCGCACCGCGAGGAGAGGCCCTTCGTCTGCGCCCGCTGCGACCGCAGCTTCAGCTGGAAGGAGAGCCTGATGATCCACCAGCGCAGCCACCCGCAGGAGCGCTCCCATAAGTGCGCCGACTGCGGCCGCAGCTTCAGCCGCAACGGGAACCTCCTCATGCACCAGCGGGTGCACACCGGGGAGCGGCCCTACGCCTGCCCCGAGTGCGACCGCACCTTCTGCAACAAGGCCAACCTCATGGCCCACCGGAAGCTGCACCGGCGCTTCAAGCCCTACGCCTGCGCCCAGTGCGGGAGGAGCTTCAGCTTCAAGACCAAGCTGCTCCTCCATCAGAGGGCCCACGGGGACGAGCAGTAGCCCCCGGCCGCTCTGTCTCCTGCAGGCTGCGGCCAGGCCTGGCAGGCTGCGCGGGCTCTGCCGTTGCTAAGGCCCGGGGGCGAAACTCGCCCCTGGGCAGAGGGCTGGGGCGAGGCCTAGGCGTTGTCTCAGCGTGGGGGTCCCGTGGGCCATGGAGCAAGACCCCAGCCTTTGAGGGGAAGCTCTGCTGTCTTGCAGAGCCCTGGGTGGGTCACTCTGGGGGGGTTCTGCCGTTGCTAAGGATGGGGGTGAAATTCACCCCAGGGCTGAGGGCTGGCGCGCATGCAGGACTCAAGAGGTGCCGAGGCCTTGCCAGCCAGCCCTCTCCCGGGGTGAATTTCACTGCTCGCCAGTATATTGCAGTGCGTCCTCATTGTAAGGCACCAGACTCGCCCTGGGCCTGGCCGCTCTGAGAGCTACATCCCCCTCCTCAAATGGCAGTCCCACGGCACGCCAGTGGGCGTCCTGAGCCCCCCCACAGTTACCCAACCCACCGTAGGCAGTGATGGGCTTAGAGAGTCGTAGCAGCGAAGGCCAGAAGAGATTGTTCTGACCATCCGGTCTGGCCTCCTGCTTCACCCAGGGCAGAGAATCTCACCTGGGGTTCCTGCAGCCCCCTCAGAAGGACCATTGGGCAGTTTCTGAGAGAGGTCAGGGCACTAGCCAAAGCCTTGGGTTCATGTCCCTGCTCTGCTACAGATTTCTGGGTGACCTTGGACATGTCCCTTAGCCTCTCAAGGCCTCGCTGCCCCAGCTGTGCAATGGGGATACCAGCCTGCCCTGCCCATGGGGGGTGGGGTGGGGATAAATACAGTAATGGGGCGCCCAGATACCATGGTGACGGTGGCCAGATAAATGGATGGATTGTCTGGTTCGCCCCGGCATAGCCTGGGCTGTAGAAGTTCACCCCCTCTTCCCACGGTTGCGCGTGAGGTTCCGCTAGCTGCTGTTCCCGGTGTGGCTGGTTCTCCCCATAGAACCGGTCCTGGGGGCACGTCACAGCACGCTGGCTGCACTGGGCGGGGCGCCCGCCCTGGTGGTTTCACCACAGCCCTGTACCTGGATCCGCTCACGTTATAACTGTGCAGGGATTGGAAAGGCTCTGCAGCTCCAGAGCAGTTCGGGGCTGCCCCCTGTCGCAGCAGAGGGGTGTGGGGGGGGGAGGGTTCCCCACCGGTTCTGGGGGTGGGGAAGACAGTGAACTCTGTGCAGAGTTCAGGGCAGATATAACCCCTCCAGGCCAGGCTGCAGTAGTGGAGCGAGGTGACCTATGTTCATAGTGGCCACCCTCCTTCAGGGAGAAACTGCACAGTGTTGTGTGTCCTGGCTCCACACCCCCCGAACGTGCAGAGGTTTCCTGAGGCCCCGTGGAGCAGAAGTGGCCATCTGCCTTCCAGAATTCCCCCCCGATGGGGGCCAGCGCTGCAAGTCGGGTTGAAATTGCTAGGACAGTTCCCGTTCTGCGTGGAACCCATTCCTGGCAGGCCACCTCCATGGTGCTGGGGACACAAATTCCTGTTTGTTTCAACGGCCAGAACGTCTTGGGCACCTCGTGTAAATCTGGCTGCAAACAGACCATTACCTGGGGATTTGCAGGTCCTGCCATAGATAGAGTTATTGCTTGCTTGGGGCTCTCCACAGAACGCTATCTGCAAACCGTTCCCGCCGGCTTCCCCACTCTGGTCTCCTATCATGTCAAGCTAAGGAGGTACTCCCCACAACGCACAGTCAACCTGTGGAACTCCTTGCCAGGGGATGTTGTGAAGGCCAAAACTATAACGGTTCAGAAAAGAACTAGACCAGTTCCTGGAGGATCGGTCCATCAGTGGCTATCAGCCGAGATGATCAGGGACACCACACCATGATCTGAGTGTCCCTAAATCTCCAACTGCCAGCAGCTGGGAGTGGACGCCAAGGGATGGATCACTCAATACACTGCCCTCTCCTGTTCATTCCCTCTGGGGCACCTGGCACTGGCCACTGTCGGAAGACAGGATCCTGGGCTAGATGGATCATTGGTCTGACCCGGCCTGGCCGTTTTGATGCCATCTCCTACCCCTTCTGCCCCACCGATGATGCCAGCTTTGACTGCCTACTTGTCTGCTTCTCAGCCGTTCTCTCCTTGACCTCCTACACGATTGCAACCCCCTCCCTGGACTGATCTCTGAGGCCATCCCTCCTCCGCCCCCCCGCATGTCTCTCCTCCAGGCCGGGTCATGCCTCCAGGACCTTGGCCAGCTAACAGCGGTGAGGGGGCGGGGGCAGTTGGGTGTAGTCCATGTGTATTTATTCAGTTCCCCACCCTTTGTATGTTTACGTGAGGCCCCGAGCTGTCAGCTCCTTGGAGCTGGGCCTGCGTCTCCTTGGCCATGCAGGTGATGCCTTGCAGGCTGTGGGCCCTGCAGTAACCCAGATACTGCATTATAACAACTCCAGGGGCTCTGGCCATGTGTCCTGGGCAGAGCTGAGCCGCCGGGCTGGTGTCAGGTGGGGCGTCGCCGCGGTAGCTATTTCCTGTTACTGGGTAACCTCAGGGTAAAGAATAAACATGTCGTGAGTCGGAATCAGTGATATCGGCTCCTTGAGTTCAAGGCCGAACTCCCTCTGTGCAGTTGAATCATCAGTTCTGGGTTTCTAGAGCTCAAGTCAAACCATCAGTGAGGAACTTTTCCTGTGAAACTCATTCAGCACCTTCCTTCCACCTGCCCTTGGACACGCTCAGCCTCTTCTTCCCGGGGAGGTTTCATTCATTGGGAACTGGCCCCTCCGCTCCGCAGCTTAACTGCAACCCTCTCCGGTGCTAGAACTCCTTCCGGGAGCCCCCGAGTCCTGCCTGAGACTAGGGTGGCCACGCTTCCCTCTGCTGAATACCGGACACCCGGGGAAATGACTCGTATTCAAGCGCGTTCAATGGCGATCGATCAGACTCTGCAGGACATACATTCACATTAAGTATCAGAGGGGGAGCCGTGTTAGTCGGGATCTGTAAAAAGCAACAGAGTCCTGTGGCACCTTATAGACTAACAGACGTATTGGAGCATGAGCTTTCGTGGGTGAATACCCACTTCGTCAGACACATGTAATGGAAATTTCCA